ACTCGTATTGGATATAAAGAATGAGAGAAGAAAAGAATGCATTCCACACAATTGGGTATTCAAGTACGAATTGAGATAGTGGACACCCTTTATACTTAAATTGGAGCATTGCGTTTGTTATATGTAATCTGATTGTTAGAAATCCAATCAAATTCCTAATACCAAAGTTAAGATTGATTTCAAATTACTACCACCTCCCCCACGCAAGCTTTTCAATATACTTGACGTCTAAAATTACTACTAGGACACGAATCGAACCAGGTCTCGGTGCTTTATTTCAAATTGTTTTCCTGCACTTATAATTACTATACGGAAAACTATTTTAATGGAAAATCATAACTGGTGTGATGCATGACACAGCTACTTTCTGATTGGTGAATATTGTTTGATAATTAATCAAAAAAGGTGAAAACAAAATTATAATTTCTTTCGCGACCGACAATATCCATTAATCAACGATGTCTTTTTAGTAAAAAGAAACAGCTTTAGAAGGAAACGATCTATATGAAACATGGCAGTATTTTTCACGTAGGAAGCGAGTAACATGCATCTTGGTATTTTCTATTTTCTTCCTACTTTACTCTCAGATTTAATATAATACACATATTGTGATAAAGGTGCTTTGGGTCACTCTGGACAGTTTTTAAGGATTTTGTGAAAAAATATTAAATAGCGTTCTCTTTTCTGTAGATACTGCTTAAATGTGATCCTCTAATTTTTTCTAACTCTCTAATTTATTTGAGAGTAGGCGCTTGCATAAATTTCAAGTTAATTTTGAGAAACATATAATTCAAATAGACTGACTATTGCAATACAGACCCATTGCTGCAGTGTGACAGAGACAACTGACGCAAAGCAGTCCCTGCATCTCTTTCTAATGGACCGGGTTTCTCAACCACGTGGCCTTCCCATTGGTCATTTAGGTTAGGTTAGATTTAGCAAGAAACAAAACCTAGTTTATTTGAGAATATTTATTTCCAAAGCAATACATAAACCAATACTATTTTTAAAAATAGTTTATTTATAAACTCTTTATAAATAAATTATTTACAAAGTTTATTAAAGAAATATGTGTGTATACAGGGTGTTTCAAAAAGATATGTCATAAATTAAATCTCGCATTCTGGGAACAAAAATAAATTGATTGAATCCAACTTATTTAGTACAAAAGTGTACACAAAAAAAGTTACAGCTCTTTGAAGTTACAAAATAATTTTTTTTTGTATTATCTCCTAAACTACTTGACATTTTGTAATAAAAATGAACACATTACTTTCTTGTTCTGAAACCATTTTTCATAAAAAAGAAACAACAAAATCAAAGCTCACAGAAAAATTTTAAGGGGGGTGTGCAGCCCTAAATCCCTCCAAACTTTTGAGCACGTTCAAACCAAATGAATTTTGTGACATTATTAGTTTAACATATTATTTGTAAAAAATTTTTGCTTGTTATCACTTTTTTCAAAAAACAGTTTTTATTGAGTTACGGCCCTTTTCATTAACCTTTAAAGAATTACGTGCATCTAAATAAATGGCTTAAATAAATTAACAAGTACAAAAAATCTTAATAACCTCTATAAATATGATATTGCAATAAATGTTCAAAATGACCCTCATTTTCTTCAATACACATTCGGTATCGTTTTAATAGGGAAAACCGAATGCGCCGAAAAATCATATTTTTCTAACGAAATTGATTTGCAGCTTCAATTATTCTAACCCTCAATTGTTGTTCGTCCTCTATTGTTACAGAATATACTTTCTCTTTCATAAATTCCCAAAAGCAAAAGTCCATGGGGTTAAGACCTGGACTTCTGGGTGGCCAAGAAATAGGTGCGTCATGACTCCTTCCAAACCACCGACCAGGATACTGCCTGCAAAGGTATTCCCGGACTTCATTACTGTAATGCGGTGGAGCGCCATCTTGTAGAAACCACATATTTTGCCTTATTGCAATATTCACTTCTTCCAATTACTCTTGTAAATCATTTGCCAAGAACTGCAAATAATTATTACCATTTAAATTGTTGGGAAAAAATACTGGGTCTATTAGATTTTTATCCACAATTCCTGCCCAAACATTAACTTTGAAAGTCCTTTGGTGATGAGTCGTTTTTCTGGCGTGAGGATTTTCGTCGGCCCAAATGTGCTCGTTATGATGGTTTGTTATTCCATTTCTACTGAAGGTAGCCTCGTCGGTAAAAAAAATATTTCTAATAAAATTGACATTTCGAGTGTTTTTCATTAACAACTAATCGCAAAATCCAAGCCTTTTAGGATAATCTTCAACTAATAACTCTTGAACCGTTGTTAAGTGATAGGGTTTGAGCAGCTGATCCTTCAAATGCCTCTAAACCCTTACGTGAGGAACATTTAGTTGAGCAGCTATTACCCTTGTACTTGTTCCAGAGACTTATTCAATGATTTCTAAAATGTCTTCATCAGTTGGATCCATTATTGGACGACCACTATTATTGCCAGCAACTTGCGGTTGGAATGTACCAGTTTCCCGTAAACGACGATCAATTGTCAGAAATAATCATCTTTCGGGTGTATTTCGATTGGGGTATTTTACTGCATAACGCCTTGGGGCTGTTACACTATTTCCTTGGCATTCACCTACGATATTCCCGATAGTTTATTGAAATCATAATTTAATCTGATCCAACTTACCCAAAGTTAAATACATATTTGCCATTTCCTGAAATGTGTAGGTCATTGTAATATCAAAATTTTTAATACTAACCTTATTCACACAATAAATGATAGCTTCAAATTATTGACTATTATTGATGGAACTGTTTGTAATTATTGTATCCGTAGAAACTAATTGTAATTTAAAGGCGCGTTTTCACGGGTCGATCTGAGTCGAACGATTTGGATCGACTGGCCGTCGACTAATAAATCGAAAGCAAATTGAACATGTAAACCATAAATCGACTTGGTCTTTCGGCGGAGTGAGTCGATTCGACGGAAGTCGAAAGACTATCTACTTTTCATAGGCGATTCCCGCCGAATCGATGTCGAAAAACTGGAATAATAATTTTTTAAGAAAATAGATGTTAGAAAATAATTATTTATTAAAATTGTCATTAAAACAGGCAATTTTCAAATGTGTTGGTTTTTTGTATACATTAGTCCCATATCCACTATTTTACTTTGAGATTAAAACATCCAGAAAAGGAGTTATTTTATTTCTTTTCCATTGTAAATTTTATTGACTCAACATTTTACCTTTTATTTATATCAATCAGAAATGTATCCAACACATCATCTACATATTTTCAACATATTGTGGACTTTAAATTTTAATTAGGAATGGTTGTTTTGAAGTCTTCCATCAATATATTAGCTAATAATGGATTTAAAGCACAGTCCCAAAATTTGGTTTATAGAAATCATTATTTAGATAAAAATAAGTGTTGTCCGTAGATCATGTCAACAGTTTCATTATAGCTGATACATTTAATTTGGTCCTAATTGTTTTCAAAGTTTTATCTAAGAAAATACCATCTTAAGGGTGCATTTATAAATAGACTATTTATTTATGTAAAACTTTACTTCGAAAATATTACATTTACAAATCAATGTACCAAATTATATTAACATTTAAAAAATATAGATAATTTTAATACAATTTGTGATTTTTTTCTCTATTAATTACAATTAATTCAACATTCATCGACTGTCGTGTAAACCTTTTTGCTTTCGGCACAGATCGAATGATGGTCGAACGATCCAAATCGTTCTACTCAGATCGACCCGTGAAAACGCGCCTTTACGACCAACTAAGAAAAAACTAGTTTTTCGAAAAAGTGATGAGGCAAAAAAGTTTTAAAAATAATGTGTTAAACTAATGATGCCACAAGATTCATTTGATTTGAACGTACTCAAAAGTTTATGAGTGTAACGTGTAACGTGTAAACCATTTTTATTACAAAATGTCCAGTACTTTAGGATATAATGCAAAAAAACAATTTTTATTTTGTAACTTCAAAGGGCTGTAACTTTTTTGTATACACTTTCAAGAATAGCCAACATTCCGTATAATATGAAGACTCAAGTTTATTTTTAAAAAAATTATAAACATTTATAAAAAACCAAAATTTCTGACTTATTTTGACAATTTTCTAAGCAACAAATAAGGATAAAAACATTTGAAAAACGCCATTTTGAAGTTCAATTCTCTTAAATTTGTTTTCAATTCTTCACTTTTGCTGATAGATGAAAAAAGACCGTGTTTAGACCTTAATTTGTTAATTACTAATTAATTGCAAAAAATCGATTGAATCGACATGCATATAGGTTTTCTAACAGAGTTCCATACAACAAGTTTCGTTTGCCTGGCTGGTTCAGTGTCACAAACAGGGGACTTTTTTTGCTTATTTCCTTAGCCTATGGACAGAGTGACGAATGAAGTAGTTTTACAGCATCTAATAAAGGAAACATAGATTCTGAATACCGTAAAATGGAGAAAATTGGAGTACTTTGCCCACGTGATGAGAAATCCTAAATATGAATTACCAGATGTTTTTATTTAGGAAAAAATAGAAGGGAAACGTGATCCTGGACGACGAAGAATATTCTGGTTCCAGAACCTCCACCAGTCAACACCGGAACCCTATTTAGATCCACTAAAATCGTTTAATATTCTTGCTTTGAAGTCATATCGTTTAAAATGAAAAATAAATAAATAACGTTTTTTTTTATTTATGTGTATAAATGTTTTTGTTTGCATTTCTGTTCCAAAACATAAGTAGCAACCCTTCTATTACGTTATATTTTTATATAAGATCACATTCAAAAACTTTACAAAAGGAAATATTACAAAAGTTGGCGCGAAATCTTTTGACACACAAATTTTCCTTTTCACCTGCCTCGTTAATCTATCCATTATCCATCACTTACCGTACCTAGTGCATCGTTCTACAAAAAGACCCTATAAAATCGATTTGCATGAAAAGTGAAAGCATTTTTTTCAACAACTGATATCTTTCAGCTATGTCTAATAAACAACCTCAGGCGACTCCGTCGTCTGGAAAGAAACTAAGCGTGCGCGGTGGAGTTTTTGTTATAAAGGGTGTTACACTCTTCCTAGCAGCTGCAAAAACTCCCAAAACTTCCAATCAGCCCAGTGGAAGTTCCGGTGCGAAGAGCAGAGGGCGCAAGAAGATGAGCGAGAAGGACGTGTGTAAATGTTCGCCGAAAATTATGGAGGCGGCAAAAAAGGACACGTTATTACACAAGTAAGCGAGTTTCTAAATATTCTCAGTTTTCTTTATAATTGACGACGCAATAAGAGGATATTTTATTATTTTTTTAAATGCTATGTAAAAAGTTATTTTGTTAAACTTTTTTATAAAGTCGAAAAATCTACGCATATTTGAAGAAAAATTGTTTTATTGATAAAAAATTTCAATAGTACGTATTGTTTTCTCCTACAAATTTTTTACCAACACATCAGTTTTTAAACACACTTTTAGAGATCCTGATATATAAGCTGTTTTATTTGATTTTTTTTATATAAGCAATTCACAATACAATTATATTTTTTAGAAATGTTCCCTGTACTTCTTTGTTATCTGAACACATATTTGGCGATGTTAAAACTGTTAGAAGACGCCTAATATGAGGTACTTTTTAGACGCCTAATTTTAGGCACTATTTTTAAATTTTAGGTTTTCTCAGGACACTTTTTAAACGTTAACAGTTTAAAAAAAAAATACAAAAGGAAGTAGGCAGTATTTAAAAAAGTTTTTAAATACTACTAATTGTCCTGTGCTCTTCACACTTCGTTGCGTTTGATTTTTTGGGTATTGGAATGAATATTGATATTAACCATTCTTTCGAAATCTCTCCCGTATAATAAATGCCAATAAATAATTCTATTAGTGTGCTCATATGATTTTTTGTTAATATTCTTAAGATTTCTGTAGGTATTTTATCTGGTCCCATGGCCTTTTCATTTTTTATACATTTTAGCGCTTTCTCAATTTCGTCTTTGGTAATTGGTGGCCCATTTCTTCCTCTTGGTTCAATGACTTCAATTTTCTCGTCGTCTTCGAATAGCTCTTTTATGTATTCTTCCCATCTGTTTATTTCCTTTCTATTTCTTTTCACTTTTCTGATAGCCACAGTTCCTTAGCTTCTTTGATTTTTTGTTTGAATATTTTATTAATTGTTTGTACTGTTGTTCGTTTTTATTCTTGTGTTCTTTCCGTCATCAGTTCTTTTATCTCTTGTGTGATCCATTGTTTATTTTTAGATGATGTGTCGTCTTGAGGTTTTTGTTTTGTGATATTTCTCAAGATCTCCTCTACTTTCCTCCAATTATCTGTTGCTGTCAATTGCTTTTGCCTTTCTACTTCCTGAACTTCTTTATGCACTTGTTCTTTGATTTGTTGGTATCTATCAGTTTCTTTTAGTTTTCTCAGATTGATTCTCGGTGTTTTAACAGTTGCTTTTAACTTTTTTAACTTGAGTTTCATGTTTGCTAGAACTAGATTCTGGTCACTTGTTATATCTGCTCCTTGTACACTTTAGCCGATATTATAGCATTTCGGAATCTCTGATTTTTTATTATGTAATCTATTTGGTTTCTTATTATAATGTCACCATCATCTCTAGGTGCTTTCCATGTATATATTCTTCGATTTTGAAGTTTATACCACTTGTTTTTGATAATCATTCACGTATTTTGACGAAGGGCTACAAGCACCTGCTTGTATCTGCTAAACGAGAAATCGAGGAATGTTCAAAAGCTTATCAGTGTATACCAGGAAGGCCAATTAAAAACAAACAATACCATTTAAACAATAGGTACTGTCAATTCTGGATTTAACTAGCAAAAAGTGAACACCGTCTATAGACGGTCATAACGGTTAGAGGATTAAACATTGTCCAAAACTAACTTTAAGTTATTTCACGATTCTATTTGATAGAATAATTATTAAGTTCCTGGTCAAACTGAAACTTCAAACAAATTTATCTGTACTTGTTCTGGTTTTCAATGCATTCAGTGGCATTTTTATTTTCAGATGTGAAAATGCCACAGACTCTCTAAAAATCCTACGAACAAGCTGAATTTTAATGAGATTGTTAATTTTGCGGCCCCAAATAGGATGCAATAAAGTTTACCACTCCTACCCCCGGCTTCCCCATAAAACCACACCTTGTAGGGGGAAAAAGGAAAAAATCCTCTTACTACGACTTTGTACACCGAAAAAAATGTTTCGAATAAAAAATTTAGCCAATATAATTTTGAAGAAAAATGTTTAAAACATCTCATATTTGTTGCTAAAACTCAAAATCGAAATTTCATGTCATATGTTTTAAAAACTGCGCAACGTTTATTTATTGAACCGATTTATAAAAAATTACTTTAATTTTGGTAAAATACAAAGACTGCATACAAAAGCTGCACTCTTCACATTTAAAACGCATTTTGATTTTTATAGATAGGACAGTCTGATCAAAAGATATAGAATTTTCACCGTCGAGTTAATACAAATTTTATTTAAAATTGAAAACCACCGGTCGCTCAAGCATTGTTTCAGAGAGAACGGTTCATTCTACGAAAAAAGTGCTAATAAACATTTTTGTTCAAAATTATTTCAACTATATTTTTTATTTGAAAAATTTTTTTCTACGCCGTACAAATTCTTGGTAAATCAATTTTTCCCCTGCGAGGGGAGTTTTAGCAAGGAGCCGGGAGTAGGGTGATTATACAGTGGATACAGCTTGTCTGTGTGATTTTTAGAGGTCAAATCTCTGACAACTGAAGTATTATTAAAATGTGTTTGGTTATTTTAGAAAGGAAATAGAAGCTCTATATAGAATTTATAAGAAGTTGATCACTTTTAATAAAACAACTCCACAAGGTGATGTTGCTCAGAATGCAAAACCTGCTACAGTTATTGGCAAACCACCAACAGTATCAGAGGTAAAAATTTTTAATATTTTTCTTTTTGAACATTAATAGAACGATTGATATAAGATAATATGTAGAAGATGTAACTATTTTCAACTGGAAATCTTTTTTATGAGAAATTATCCGTTTTCTTTTACAATATCAGGTATTTTAACTTGGTGTTGTTTGATATTAAAATTTCTGGTCTGTTTTGTCTTATTATTATCGCCTTTTCTTGATCGGACACGCGGTAATTTGCAGTTATTGATCATTGTTTTCTCTAGCCTAAATACATCAATACTGCATATAAAACGCTCCTACAGTGCATCCACAGTATCTGCCAACAGCAGTCAAAAAATGGTGTTTCAGTAACTATCATATGGATACCATCCCATGTTGGTATCAATGGAAATGAGAATGCTGATTATGCAGCCAAACTGGCTTGCTCCTTAGAAAATAAGAAAAACATACAACTTCACCAAGATCTAAAGGCCACTATTAAGAACAACGTACTAAGCACTTGGCAAACACACTGGAACGTGCAAAATACAAAACTACGCACAATTCAACCAACTGTTACCTCCATCACCATGTCTGAAATGAGCAGAAAACACAAAATTATTATCAGAAGCTCAGAATAGGTCACACTCGTCTTACTCATGGACATCTGATGTCTTCTGAAAAACATCCTCGCTGTTAATGAGTCCTTAACAGTCCAGCACATATTACTAGAATGTGTCCACTACCAACCTCAAAGAGACTACTAGAACTTTCAAAATAATTTAAGCGATCTACTCGGTTCTACAAACATGTACAGTGCCATAATTCGTTTCCAAAATGACTCGTCACCTTTACTACTTAGTGTAATAATATTAAGACGTTGTTAATGTATCCTAATTTGTATATAAACAGATTGTATATGTATGTAAACATAAACATATTGTAATAAACTTTGTACCAATGTCAATGGCCCATAGTTGCCGAGACACTTCAATTTAAAATAAAAAAAAGTACTTTTTTTGAAACATTTCATGTTGCCGTAGAAGTATTCACAGCATTTAGACATTTTTTAATTGCAGGGAATAGACAGAACAGTCTTTAGAGAAGTCCTTCACAATACATTCGACATAGTCACGGAACATATGTTAATGGACAGAATTTTTTGCGTTTGGGATAAACATAACTGTGGATTGATTACTGTAGAAAATTGGTTTAAAGGATTGTCCCTCTTTTTAAGGGGAACGATTCAAGATCAAATTAAATATTGCTTTGCAGTTTATGATTTAAACGGAGATGGATTCATTACCAAAGATGAAATGTTTCAGTTACTAAGGTAGGTATAAGAGTAATATACAAACCCCGCCCCATATCAGTAGGCCCACCTATGGAATTTGCAGTTTAAGTCGATTACCATAAACAAATTATACTCTACATGGTTTTATAAGTTCCCATATTAATTAATATGGCATTTTTATTAATATTTATTAAAATCATTACCTTTATGGTTTTTTATTTATTTTCAACAATAAAAAAATTCACTAAACCCTGGCTACGCATTCACTTATTGTCAACATGCGTTGATTTTTTCACAGTTACGTTAAATCCATAGGTAGGCTATGGAATAATGACATCAAAACAATAATATTGTCAGTTAATCTCAAATGTATTTTGTAATATTGTAAAGCTTTTTGCCGTTGGTGGATTGTACAATGGGTCGAGGTAAAGTTATCGATAAGAAAATTTGTTCAACCATAATTAGATTTTTTAACTCTGGAAAATCCAATTTGGAAATCGCGAATATGTTGTAATTGTCATGCTATAGTGTAAGAAATATAATCAGAAGATACAAAACTACAGGTTCGGTCGTCACAAAACCTGGAAATGTACGAAAAAGTAAAATAACCGAATCAGATCGAAAGGCAATAAAACGCATTATAGTGAAAAATCGACGAGAAAATTATATGGAGGTAAGCGTTTTATGGAGTGAAGTTATTGGAAGACACGTTTCTAGATCAACATGTCACCGAGAGGCTCACAAATTAGAATTTGGTACTTACAAAGTAAGTTTTATAGTTGAAAAAATTAGTATAAATTGTTTTTAATAAATTTCATTTTATTTTAAGCTAAGGAAAAGCCTCTTTTAACATTATAACAAACGAAAAACAGATTAAGATGGTCAAAAAAGCATAAAGATTGGATTCAGTTGCAATGTGATTTAATACAATGGAGTGATGGTCCAGATTTGAAGTGTGTGTTGGAGACAGTAGGACTCGCGTCATTCGTAGGAAAAAAGCTTTCCATCCCGACTGTCTGAAGAGAAAAGTCAAATTTCCTGGATCCGTCATGATCTGGGGCAGCATGTCTTCTAAAGATGTGGGAAAGTTACACTTTAATCGATGAATTGTAAACACATATTTGAATATTTTAGAAGAATCTCTTTTACCGATTATGGAACTCCGTTTCACATCAGCGGAAGATTTTGTCTTCCAACAGACGGAGCTGGTTTTCATATCTCAAAAAAGAGTTTAAAATGGATTGAAGACCATGGGGTACGACTTCTGGAATGGATTTCTAACAGTCCAGACTTGTCCCGGATAGACTTTGTGTCGCGAAATAAAAAAAGCTTTAAGAAAACATCCTGCCAGGTACGTCAACAAATTGAAGGAAAAATTGCAAGAAATATGGGATTCGTTTACATTAGAATTTTGTCAGAACTTTTTAAAAACTATGCCTCGAAGAATTGTGGATGTCATTAAAAATATAGGGATGTAACTCAGTGGTAAACTTTCACATGTTTTTTTTTTGTTAATATTACATATTCTATGCATTAATTGAATTTATTAATATTCTCTTTAAAAACATAGTTTTTATTACGTTATAAAATATTTTCTATAATTAGGACATTCAAAAATGTTATTCGATGCATTAAAACTTCTAAAATTTACGCTGCGCTTTTATTTTTGTTCTCTAAAATTTACTTTTCTTATCAATCTAACGTTGGACCAACTGTGGGAAGGAGCTCGTAGTAGTATCGTAGAAACTAATAGTTAATTACAGGTTAAGTTTGAATACAATGTCTACTCATATTTGCTAATTCTAATACTAATAGTTTTTTGCAGAAACTGTTTAATAAAACATCCACAAGAAGAAGACCCTGATGAGAGCGTTAAAGATTTGGTAGATATAGTCATGAGAAAAATAGATAAAGATAAAGACGGAAAAGTTTCTCTTGAAGACTTTCAAAACACAGTTGAAGAAGAACCGTTGCTTTTGGAGGCATTTGGAAAGTGCTTACCGTCCGAGGAATCAAAAATGACATTTCTAACAACCCTCAAAGCTTAGAGAAGGTGGTAGCTAGACCTTCAGAGCTGGTGAAACAACTAAATAATATAGAAAACAAAAAGCGAAAACTAAATATTGTAGAAAATCTAGTTACTATCTCTAGAGAGTGCTCACATTTAATTTGAGAAATAAAAATTAAAAAAATTTTTGTACGATGAACTAAAATGTTACAGAAAATAGTAAATATCTAAATAAACTCATTTATGATGTTATTGTTTTTACATTAGTATCCCTCCCTATTATTCTTCCTTCTTGTATGCAGGCATTAAAGCCTGTTAATTCTTCAATATTAGCCTTCTAAATTGTTTAAATTATCGCACAATCTTTTTCTTGGTCTGACAATACTTCTTCGTTTATTTGGGGACTTATCTCGTGCTATCTGCCTGCTTTATTATTTTCCCATCAATTTCCCCATTTCCCATCAATCAATGCAGCGTAGTCTCCACTACATAATATTTAGATTTCTTCGTTCCCCATTCTGTAACCATGACCTTTACGTACTATTTGTATTATTTCGTCCATTATTATATTAAAAAGAAGTGGGCTCAACGAGTCACCCTGTCTGACAACGCCTTGTACTGGTATACACTGTGTTGGGTGGAAGTAGTTGTTTTCGATGGTTTGTATAATATTGATTGGTATGTTTCTTTTATACAGTAGATGTAAGACGTTTTCGACTTGGATGCGATGGAAAGCCTTTGTCGGGTCTATAAAGCATAGATATGCTGGTTTATTGTACTCGATGGCCTTTGTCTGTGATTTGTCTTAATACAAATACGGCGTCTACGCAGGATCTTCCGCATCTGAATCCTTGTTGTTTATATGATAAAGTTGTTAGTTTATTGATTTTGTTGGTTAGGACTTTTGCGGTAAGATTAGGGGGGGTGACAGTAGATTTATACCTCTATAATTGTTGGGATCTTCTTTATCTCTTTTCTTGAATATTGGTATCATTATGTTGTTTCTCCATGCGTCTGGTATCTTGCAGCGCAATATTAATTTTTGTATAAGTTTTTTCATCTAAAGGCAATAATTTCTCCTCCGTGTTTTAGAAGCTCGTTGGTTACTCCGTCTGGTCCTGGTGACTTTCTATTTTAGACTGAATTTATGGCTATCTCTACTTCCGGAAAACTGATTTCTATCGGTTTTGTCATCTCTAGGGTTTTACTTTCTATTCCGTGTTTTAGAATCTCGTTGGTTATTCCATCTAGTCCTGGTGGCATTCTATTTTTGAGCAAATTTATGGCTATTTTATTATTTTCCTTTCCTTTAAACAGTTCCATCAGATATCTTTACCATTCGTTTGCTACTATGTTATTGTATTCCTTCAATTCTGCCATTTCTTTCCGTCGCTTTCTTATCAATCTCCATATTTGTTTTTGTGTACCGTAGAAGTCCCTTTCCATCCTTTTTGTAATCTGTTTCCAGTGTTAATTTTTTTTTCTTCTTACCAACTGCTTTGTTTCATTTCGAATTCTTCTATAGATGTTTTCTGGGGTATTTAATATTTTGTACTTCGTGTAGGCCTCTCGTTTCTCTTTACATTTCTCTTTTATTTCTTTTCTTAACCATACTGTATTGTTGTTGTTTCTTTTGTTCAGTATGACTTTGCGTTTTCCTAGAGCTTCTCTTGCTGCTTCCCCAATGTTGTTTTTAATTTTCTCCCAGCTCGCATTTATATCATCGATTTTTTCTACTTGTTTTAGCTGTATCTTCTGTGCTAGCCTCCCTTGATACATTTCTCTTGTAGAGTCGTTCCACAGTGATTCTATATTGAATTTTTCCTCAGTGATTTCCTGTAGAAAATGTTTTGGTGTTATTTTCATTCTTACTTATCCCTCCCTCTCTTCATAACCTCACTGCTAATAGTAAAGTACGTCAAGCTGCAGATCTGATGGATAAACCTATTTGAGGACGCTGAATCTATTAAATGTAATTTGAAAGTTAGCTCGCATTTTCGAATAATTGCTGACGAATCAACAACTGAGCATTGACAATCATTCGTTAATTAGAAAATCAAACGAAAGAACTATTAAAGGAAAATGCATCTACGTACGATCTAAATCTCTATTTTTCATCTCAAAGGTACCAGTTTACTTTCATTGTTATTATTAAGTGGTGCTGAGCATGTTACTTCTCAGCAATGTTGGGTAGAAGAATACGAAAGGCGAAATAAAACACATTTGAATCGAAGAGTGAAAGATGAGGTTACGAAACACGTTACTCGTCCCCTTCTTTCGCTCGACTCCTCATTAGGAAATAGAGACATTTATTTTATTCTAGCCTCTCACCAGAATTTTGGTTTTCATACATTGGACTAGATAATCATGACAAAAATATACGTACATATATAAAAATAGGTTTATAAATAACATAAAAAACATATCGCTTCTTTGAAGACTAAATATTTTTGGGAATGTATATCAAGACTTACGATAATATGCCCCATTGATGTGACGTTACATTGTTGTCTGTTTGAGTTTAGGTACATCGACTGAATTTCTCAGACACTTTCCACAGTTTATTTTAAATTCTTCAGAAACATTTTGGATTGATAACAATCTTGACAAAATTATTTTTTCTTATTATTTAGTTCTTCTTTTACAGCTTTTATCGATGTTTACCATCATAGCACTCTTTTATAATTCTTTTTGTCCGTTTGCGGCATTTTAGAACGTCTCTAGAGCAATTCAGGGCAGACGGGAACGATTCTAAAATTTCTAAGATAGTCTATAATATTTGAGAACTGTCCTAATATGCTACACGAAGCTCTAGAACACTTCAAAACATGTCGGGATTATCTTGTAATGTTTAGGGGTCCCTTTTTGTAGTTAGAAATAATTCAGGAGCCCTGGGAAATTCTATGATAGACTGAAATATTTCAGTAGAGTCCTAGAATGATAACTATGCTCTGGAGCACATTACGATAGCCTGCAAGATTTCATAACTGTCCTAAAATGTGTCACATGGCTCTGGAAAAAAACAGCATAGCTAAATTGTTTCTGGATGGTTTTGAAATGTTTTAAAATTTCCTAAAAAAATTTAGACTAATCAGGAACATTTCGGGAATTTCCTGGCATATTTCGCTCTAAACTACATAAGAATCATTCACAAATTATCTGGAATATTTATTACTGGGATATATGAAAGACCCAGAACAAGCTGATATATGTTGGGAATGTCCTGTAATGATTTAGAGCCTCTAAACAAATTCGTAGTAGAAATATTTCAGATCCTAGTAAGCTTTCATGGGAAATTGAAGTACTTTAGGTTTCCTAGAATGATAAACGAGGCTGTGGAGTTTTCAGGACAAACTGAAAGATTTCATAATTTTCCTGGAATGTGCCAATTAATTCTAGAGAAGACTAGAAAAGCTTGAATGTTTTTGGACTATCTTGAGGGTTTCTGAATAATTTTAGAGCAGCCTGGAATATTTCGTGGCTTCCCTGAAATGTTTTAGGTGGATTCGGGAGGGTTTAGACAAGTCTGGAATCTTTAATAACTATATGAAACAATCCAGGAATATTCCTGTATATTTCAGAAGTCTATAGAGAACTCAGGATTCATTAAATGTGTCGGAACTGACCTGAAACATTTTAGTTTAGGACTAAACCAAATGAATACAAAAAAGGAATGATGTACGAGTTGTATGACCTTCTAACAGCCAGAAATATGTTTTAGGCGAATATGGATAACCAGGACTGATTGAGGAGTCCTACAGGCGTCCATGGGAGAGATCTCGGTCCACCTTGCATATAATGGCATTATCATGGAATGCTTTAGGGAGGTCTAAAAGAATGTTTTGTAATATTTTACGTTGCTCTTGAGAACCATAAATGTTTTAGGATGCTTAGGAGAACTTTTGGGATAACCCAGAACCATTCTCGACTTTTAAAATATTTCAGCACTGTTCTGGAATATTATTGGTGTCTATTTGAGGACTCAGCAAATCTGCAATATGTAAGTACTATTCTAAAATATTTTGGAAATCTCTAATCAAATTTACGGCAGGCAAGCATGATTTAGTAGCCCTTTAAACGGTTCTATGACGGTATGGAATATTTCATAACTCTCTTGGAAGGATACAAAAGAATCTGTCCTAAAATATATCCGGTGATGTAGTCGCTAAAGTTTCTTGAGAAATTTAAAGTAGTCTTCACTGTATCGGAACTAACGGTTTCTCTGGAAGACCTCGGGGTAGCCTGGAATCTTTCACAGTTATCCTGGAATGTTTCGAAAGATTTTAGTTTAGTTTCCGTTTTTACTTTTCTTTCTATCCACTCCTCTTAGTTGGTCGTTGCACTTTTACAAGATGGTTCTTTCTTTTTTCAAGGTTTTTCCTTCTTTCCTGCTACTAGGGATCTTTTTGGTCTCTTCTATATCGGTCCATTTTCACTATATATCTTGTGTTCCATTATCCTAACTGGCTAATCAGTTAAGTTTATCAGTTTTGTGTGTTTACTTATCAAATCATTCGTTTTGCTTTTAAAAACTTGCTCACTCACTCTTCTTCTTCTTTATTCTTATACGTAGGCTTTAAAGCCTGTTTCTTCTTCAATATTAGCCTCCTAAATTGTTTAAATTATCGCACCATCTTTTTCTTGGTCTGCCAATACTTCTTCGTCCATTTGGTGACTTATCTCGTGCTATTCGTACTATCTTATCCTCTGGCATTCTAATATTGTGTTTGTTCCACTCCTGTTTCCGTTTTGTCACCCATCCATTTATGCCTTCTATATTACATGTTCTTCTTATGTTTTCGCTTCTCTCCCTATCCAACAGACTTTTCCCTGATATTCGTTGATATGCTGGTTTATTCCACTCGGTAGCCTTTTCTGTAATTTGTCTTAGTACAAATACAGCATCTAAGCAGGATCTTCCAGATCCGAATCCTTGTTGTTCATCTTATAAAGTCTCCACTACATAATATTTGGATTTCTTTGTTCCCCATTCTGTAACCATGACCTTTACGTCCTGCTTGTATTATTTCGACCATTATTTCATTAGAGAAGTGGGCTTAACGAGTCACACTGTCTGACTCCGCTTTGTACTGGTATACACTGTGTTAGTTTTCCATTTATCTTTGCCTGTATTCGATTATGGAAGTAGTTGTTTTCGATGGTTTGTATAATATTGATTGGTATGTTTCTTTTTTACAGTAGATGTAAGACGTCTTCGACTTGGATGCGATCGAAAGCCTTTGTCAAGTCTATAAAGCATAGATATGCTGGTTTATTGTACTCGATGGCCTTTTCTGTGATTTGTCTTAGTACAAAGACGGCGTCTACGCAGGATCCTCCGGATCCGAATCCTTGTTGTTCATCTGATTAAGTTGTTAGTTTATTGATTTTGTTGGTTAGGGCTTTTGTGGTAAGTGCGGTGTTCAGTAGATTTATACCTCTATCATTGTTGGGGTATTCTTTACCTTCTTTCTTGTGTATTCTCCTTACTCACTCACTCGAATCAGCTTAATAATTTAGCGAAATACAATATCTGAAATAATTTCTCAGAAAAAGTCACCAATAAATTAAATTTACCTAACTAGTGTACCTAACCTCAACAAAAGAATTATGTGACGTCACCACCAGCGTGGCATACTTTTTGAATAAATTACACATTTAACACAACTCTTATCACATACAGGGGATAAATTTTTTAAAAACAAACAAATTTTTACTAATAATTTCATAGAAATAGCTTTGTGGCTTAGAATCAGGCGTGTAATTGAGTTTGGTGTGAAGATAAAACATAGAATAAAGGGCCCGATATATGTCTAATTATAATCTTCTGCAAAGGTCTTCCTGATTTTCAAATCTCATATGCAGCTGTAGACCTAATTACAACGCTATCAGATCTACCCGTATAAGTCTTCTTCGTTTTACTAGTTAACCGATATTCAAGATCTTCGATAATGTGGCCTTCACATTGAGGGAAAATTCAGGTGTTTTTCTTCTTTTTCTTCGGTTAATAGTGCCTTTATTATGAAAATATAAGTAAATAAAAACAGTCTATTAAAAACACTTTGGCACGGATACTTTTCGTTGTTTAAAGCTTATAATGCCGGTGCAGATATTTTAAATGTCAAATAAAATGCAAATGTCAAGAACTATGATGGTTCTAAATGACTATATGAGTGTCGAGGGGAATTAAATACAGTCCGACTACATAATGATATGCAAACACTTAATACATTGTATAAGAAGAGTAATACCATCGTAACTTCAGTCATGGAAACATAATAATAGAGAGTTTAGGTCACTTACGAGGACAAGGTGAAAAGTTCATGTAATGTACATAGTACACATATCTATAGTACTTAAAAACAATTTACTTATTGGTCTGCAAAATATGCACTGTCGTCTTTTTGGATTAAGCCAAGAAGATTTCCAGTCGCAAAATATTGTGCAAATTCAAATATGTTGTTAGATCGGTTGTTTCTTTTAAAGTAAAAAAAATATGGGCAAACCTAACAAACTGGGTATTTAGCAGTACTATCTATGGATGAGACCCAGCACTTTTCACCTTGACCTTGCATTTAACTGCGTTTATTGTTAAATGCTTCTGTTTTCAAAGTCACAATGGTCCTAGAACTTTTCTTCGCACTAGATGTTTCTTAGCTAGTTCTTTCCTACTAGACTTTTTAGACAATGACACAAAAAAATCTCTTATCTTCCATTCTTTCAATGTTAAGTGACCTAAAACCTTCCTAATGAAAGAAATACAGTAACCTACACCTAAAAAACCATCTAACCGAAAAAATTTAAAATAAAATTAAAGCATAATCTCTTTCGAGTCTTCTTTTTGCCTTTACTTGCAGTACACCCATAGGATCGGCCGGTAGAGGTAACCCACCATTACAAATCGTCGTTTCACCGTAAAAAATCTTATTCGGACCACAATGGTAACCATAGTATGAGGTGTCGAGGGACCTAAAATATAGAAAGTATATTAATGCAGCGGCCTATTTAAAAGAAAGTAGTTAAACTCTAAATATTTTATTATTTTTTTATTTGTTGTATTAGGATGATTTAATATTAATCTAGCCAGATAGATGGCGTTGCTTGTGAATAAATTGTCAATTTTGACGCATGTCATGTGATCCATTCAGTCACAATTTCAAAGAGAAACAACAATTAATTTGGTAATAGTCATTCAAAGCAAGCAACTTGATCTTAACAGTATTTTATGGTTAACTAACAGGTACTCCAGAAAACTCAGTACCCTAGAAATTCTCGATGATAACAGACAGGATACGAAGCAGCTATCATTTGCTCCAAAAACAAAGTCTCGCCACATTTTTTTTTGCCGATATACATCACTGCTGATGAAAATTGGGTCCATTTCCACACGTCGAGATAAAGTACAATCGAAGCCGTTTACAACAAAAAAAACGATAATATGAGTACTATATTCAACCGTTTCGATGTCGATTTGGGGAAAAACACCCACAACACTGTACACATTTAGCTTCCTGTGACATTTATTGTTTCGAAACTTAAAAGAAATGCTCAAAGGACGCCGTTTTGTAACAAACGAAGAGCCAAAACTTCAAGATATTTTGAGAAGGACGAGCCAGAGCTATTTGGAAGAGAAAAAAGTTAAACGAAAAGAAGACTATGTTGAAAGATAATATGGATGGCTTGTGCCAAGTCAAAACCAAAACCATAGGTAATGACATCATGCGCCATAAGTCAAATTCCAACTGTCAGCTGTCAAATACCAAATGTCAACTGTTTTTGTTTACATTATTAAGAAAATTAAAGGACCATCAGCAAATCATGATTCACATCACGTGAAAACATTGAAAGTTCGCTACTCGACATATATCTCCTATTTACATTCACTACCCAACACAGGTATCCCACCGAATGTGCGAAAAGTAACAAAAATCGTACTTTTCTCACTTCACGTCAGATTAATATAACAAAGTGCATTTTTGAGTTTGTTTATTACCATCAATTGAATAGTTGATTTGGCATAAAAAATCCAAATGATTGATTTAGCATTGCTAGAGATTTAGCATTGCTAGAGCTTTAGCGATCATCGGAAGCAATCCGTATCACAGAATCATTACCATTTAAATAAAAATCGAAGTTTAAAAAAAATCCTGGAATATCGAAAAAAAAACCGGATCAAGGCAGAATACCTATCTCATTTATCTATTTTTGAAAGCATCATGCAATGTTTTACAAATTTCATTGTAGAAAACATTGATTTTCGCTTTGCCATATCTTTTGGCACACTTACTGGACTAATTCTTCTATTCAATTGTTTAAATTTTTAAGCCATTTTGAAATTTCAACCAATAAATAGCCTGCATATTACCCTGATTTGTTCCCATTTGCGCATATTTGTGAAATGCTAGATATACGATTAAGATCAAGAATTCCAACTGTACAAAATATGCAGAAATAACATCTGCTGCAACTAAAATATGCGAGAATTAGCCCAAAGTAAGAATCATCGTCATTAGAAGTGTCATTCACTTTTTAGTGTTAAGTAGAATGGACACGAATTTGTCAGTGGCGCACTGTTTTTCTGGGAATGTGTATAAAAAATAAAAAGGTGAAATGTTTGTTTTTCTTTTTTAATGCAAGATATTAAGGAAATAAGTTTAATTCTTAAATGAACAACTGAAGAAAGAACAGTACAACAAAATGGATATAGCAATAAAAAGGAATAACTTCCCCTGTTAACGTTTCGCTAATACTTAAAAGTTTCTTACCTTATCAAAACTTCAGTAATACTATTATTAGACAATTCATCGTTAAAATAATACAGCTCTCGCCAATCCTCAGTAGTGCCGTTCCAGAACGTTCTGGGACCAGTTGAGTCAAGCGTAATAAACTGGTACTGTTCGCCTCCTTGTGTCTGCTTTAACTCGAAGCAATCCCTCATTTTATTCTCTAATTTACTCAGTTGGTTTTTGCAAATCGTACACTAGAATGAAATCATATTATAGGTGGGTAACAACAAAACATTTCTTACATGTAATTTAATGTATGAACAACCAAAGGTGATTGAACAAAAGATCAGAAATTCAGAATGTAAGTAAAATTGATAACCATATTATTTCGTGATAAAAATTCATTCATGTCACACCAAGATATAATATTGACATCGTGCATAGGTAAATTTACAAGAGACTTTTAGGAGGACGAATCGGCATAGCCATTAAAGAGTCAGGCGGGCTGTCACCCAGGCATTACGGTTTCAGAAAGAACAGGAGCACGGTGGGTGCGGTGATGGAAGTCTTCCGCGTCTTGCGCGAGGTGGGGGTTATCCAGAGGTGGGCGATCCTCTTGTTGTTTGACGTCCGGAATGCATCAACACATTAAAATTGAAAGGGGTAATCAACGCTTTACGAGAGAGAAGATGTTCGACGTACTTGATGAATTTGGTCTCGGACTATCTGCCAGAGAGGAAAATTGTGGCAGAAAAAAGAGTGGTGGACATGGTGTAACCTCTTTCGCATTTGAGGACGACCTCGGTATGCTGATAGTGGCGCGAGACAGGGAGGACCTTATTTTCCGTTTACAGCCTCGACCAAGTCGAGGATTTGGATGAAAAATGGATTTCATGCGTGAGATATTTAGGTGTGACTCTGAATCAAAACGTAAGGTGGGGGGAGCAGGTGAAGGCGGTGATTCAAAGAGCTGCGATGAGATTCGCCAGGTTTTGGGAGATCATGCCCAACATCGGAGGACAAAAAACTGAGAGGAGGGTCCTTCATTATGTTGTACAATCGATCATCCTCAACTCGACGCCTATCTGGGGTACTGCAGTTTTAACAAAGGCGTACAGAAGGCAGCTAGGAAGAGTCTGTTGAAGGTGCACGTACATATCGAACAGTCTCTAACGAGGCGTTGTAGCGCAGTAAAGCAATAGCAAAGATTCCAGTACCTAAAAATGCAATGAGGCATTCGAGGCTGCAAAGGAACATTTAGTGTCTGATAGAATTTTAATTAATTTTGACCCATTTAAAAAATTAAGACTAGTGTGTGATAGCAGTGAATATGGATTAGGTGCAGTGCTTTTGCACGTGATGTCTGATGGTATTGAAAGACCAATATTTCAAGGCTACTAACGAAAACGGAGATAGGTTATAGTATGGTACACAAAGAAGCATTATACATTTACTGGACTGCTCACAAGTTATATGAATATTTAGCAGGAAGACATTTTGAAATTTTAACTGACCACAAACCGTTAATTACAATATTTGGAGAGTTTAAAAGTTTGCCAAAGATGGCAGCAGCACGTTTGCAAAGAGGATGTATATTTTTATCTGGTTTTGATTATACTATAAAGTATATTAAAGGAAAGGATAATGTGAGATCAGATGCATTAAGCCGTTTACCAGTGGAACAGGAAGAAATGTCTATGGATGAACAAAGCGAATATTTTGGTTATTTTAAATATTTGAATGTTTTATAACATTTCGAGGAAGAATCTTTAGAAAAGCTAATGTTTTGCTAGTACGGTCAAAAAGACTTACTTATGTTAAAACTATTAACAATAATAAAATAAATATTTAAGAAAGCACAAAATACTTTTCCAAACAAATACATACCAATGAATTCATCGCGGCAGAGTCTTCGATTATGTCGAACTTCAATAAAATCGTAATGGTTATGTTATTTTCGTGCCACTGGAACAGCACGCATTTTTCTGTCGGATTCCCGCTATTACAACTTTTTTCGGGTTGCTTCGTATTTTTTTTAAGTCGAAAAACTAGGCTTCGCAATAACAGATTTCCGGTTGTCTATTTTACTTCCTTTGGCACTATAATTCAGAAACGACAGAGATTTCAGTCTGTTGGGTATAAACGTCGAGTCCGGAAAATTATACTCCCCACTTTTTTCGTACAGCAACAAGTTACTTTTTTCGCGCGAAAAATTGAAACAATCTTCTTTGTGAATACTTTGGCAGCTTCGATTTATCGATTTTTGTTGTAAAACATCCTTCTTCTCGCTTTCTTCATAAAACGAAAGGGACATATGCTTTCCATCGCGTTTTAATACTGGAAATGTAGGATCAGCAATCGTCTGTGATCTTTTGGATATATAGTTGTGAATTTTTTTGTTTAGTTTGGTAGTTTTTCCCTCTGCATTACTAGCTGTCTTATTAGTAGACTCAACTAGATCCGGCTTACTTTCATTATGACAAAGAGATAATGGATTGAAGTGAACAAACTTCTTCTGTTCCTGCAGTGGAGTGCTACACACAACAATCTGGCTAGATAGGTTGTAATCACTCGTTTGTCGTAACAGTTTGTTTGTGCTGCTTCTGGTAGTGGTATTTTCGAGATTCAAAAATCGAGGTCGATTTTTCTTGGTTGTTGGGGTAAAATTAGGCTCAAACGTTGGCACAGGTCGTTCCTCGGGCACCGAAGTGAACAGAAGTGATTGTTCTCTTTTAATTGTAGACAAGATTGATGTTTCTTTCTGAGATAATTTTCTCGGCTTCTGAAAAAGATAAAACGGCTTGAAAAAAATTATTTTTAATGTCTATTTGGTTACAATAAGCAGCTCGTTACAAATAAAAATCTTCAAACAGCAGTAAAGGGTCATTTTTTTCCTGTTCAAATCTACGCTCGGTGTTATGTATGTTCTTTCTTTTCAATTTCTTTTCAAGTTTTGATTTGTTTTACATTCTCGCCATGATTATGAAATTTTAGCGCTCGGAACAATGAGAAAGGATCGATTAAACAATTTGTTTTAGATGATAACTCTCTGAAGAAAAAATGAAGATATATATAAAGTATGATAAATCATACTTTTTATAACCTATAATGGTGTTTGTTTTCCCTGAAATAATCCTCACCTAGATATCAGAATGGAGGCTCTGTTTGCTTCAGGAACATTTTACCTCAGGAGATGTGATCATTTCAGTATAATTTTTATTACATTGGACTTTATCATTTGACGCCTGAATGTCTTTTTTATCAGCATCATTTCCTGCATGATTTAGAGACATTTCATTGGGGGCAAGTACTGTATATGAGATATATAAGGTGGTACTTATAAATAAACATAACAATAACAATGACGGAATAACAAAACAAAAAATACTACTTTCAAAATATGTCATGCATTTCAATTGCTGTAAACATTTAGTTCTGTGTTACAGGTATCGTGATATGTGATAGAGGTGTCAAAAAACATGTTAATTAATAATGAAAGTATTATACATGCCAAAAACGCAAATATCAACTTTGAATAAATATTAATGTGTTAAGTACCTTGTTAGTAATGCCACCTCGAAGGTTTTGAAATATATTTTCATGGGAAAGCTTAACTAACTTGGAATATTCGTTACCAGAAATATACACTTCATATAACTGCACTTCGTGTGGTAAAGAGAATAATGGTTTGATTAATTTATTGGAACATACAACACCGCATGCTTCTGTTAGTAATACTAGTTGTGTTAATGCTGAGCAAAGTTGTGTTACGACTAACCTAAAACAAATGATCAACAATAATGACTTTTTGTACACACATCGTATTGAAAGACTCCTTATAGCATTTGGTCAATAAAACAAAAAATAATTTAGTTAATGGTAGTCATAAACTTACCTATTGCGGTAGCTAACAACGCCCCCTAGTACATAGTTGCCACTTCTACAGCATTCCAAAATATGTATAGCTTGAGTAAATATGTCATTAGAGCTCTGCAAATATAAATATAAATTATACAAGTGTGGTTTCACATTGTTAGATCGCATTACACGAAAAAACTGCTCTGGGTTTTGAAATATATCATTTTGGAAAGCTCAATTTGTTCCTGATCATGGTAAAGTTTGAAAATAGACATGGAGGTGTCCCAGAAACAGTTATTATCTCAAAAATCATCAACAAAGTCTGTAATAGGATCATGAGAAATTACATTACACCAATTGGTATTCAAACTGATCGATCACCCACCATATTTGCCAGATTTAGCCTTGTGTGACAGTTTTCTCTTCCAAAACTTCACACTATTTTGAAGTCAATCACAATTAGTTTTGTGAATGGATAAAACATATCCCATCAGTCAGATAGCCAAGCAGGCTAAGCGGCTGTTTCTCATTCGCTTCACTGTTGAATGGTTCAGAGGATGTGGGTTCGAGCTCCAGCTCAGTGTACAGAATAATAAAAAGGCTAACGCAGCAGTTTGAAATTCTAGATGAATCTGCGGCTTAGACTAGAATATGCTGGTGTCTGATCAGCCTATGGTGGAGCAGTATGCCAAGAGATAAGGGCTTGCAGCCCGGTGATCCTCCTCCATAAATCTCTAGTGGAAGGGTGTGACGCCTAAATATTGATGTATATATATATATATATATATATATATATATATATATATATATATATATATATATATAAAACAAATCCATAAAAGCATCTTATTAAGTGTCTTGAGGAAATGGTGGATTTTGTTGAAAAATAAATAAGAAAAACAACAAAAACTGAGTATTTTCATATGCAGGCTTAAATGTTATGTGTAAATAATTATCAATTACTGAAAAAGCTTTAGATAATCTGTAATTAGTAGTAAATTGTTTTAAACTTTGGATAGACTATGACACAAATAAGTTTCACATAAAGATAGAGCAACATCAATAACCATTATAATAAAATAAACCTAATCCAAGTTAACAACCCTTTCAATACTTAACCATATAAAAAATATACATACTTTAGGTAATACAAAAGCTGGCTTTGGTGTAAATAGTTTACCAGATACTAATAGCATCTTTAAGTAAGAGTCGATAATATCCTGTAACTTTTCTACATCACATTTACTATTATAATTCAACTGTAGCGAATAAATATCTTTATGGAAAAATTCTATCACAGCATATAAACTTTTGGCACGAGATTGCAAAAAAGTACTTGGAGTATTTTTATCAGTGCCCATAACCTACAAAAAAAAAATAATTTATATTTTGGAAATAACAAATTTGTATAATTAAACTAACATTATATGGCAGCACATGACAAACTATTCTCTGATCATTATCAATCTCTCACATGGAGACATATGCTGTTGAGCATATGTCTCCATGTGACATCTTTTTAAGCAAAGAGCTAGATATATTTTGAGTTTTGTCCCATAGCTTCTTCCATAACTTCCCACCATAATCTTTGAACACGCTCTGTGTCACAGAGTAGTAATCATAATATATTTTTCAATAAACGAATACTTTTTACAGTTTATTTTTGTTTCAACAGTGAGTGATAAACATTCTGCATACATTTAATGGTTGTTAAAAATAAACATTAAACCTATACATCTGACACAGACTTAAAAATAGATGATTTAACTACTATACTATACATTATAAATTATATAAACATAGTCTCCGTTTTAATAATCGTACATGCTTATGGTGGTATTCCCAGCTATTTAAGTGGCAAAACATAAAGCTCATAGCTCATTATAAATTCGGTGACAATGATCATCCTATCCTGTTACCGATTGAGAGAACGATTCCCATTATTCGATGTTGTCACGTCAACATATCGAATACTGATGCGAATACCAACGTTATAGTCACACTTTGACAAAAGTAATAGGCAGTTTGCTGTAACCTATTATTGAGAAAACAAATACTTGTTGGTAATAGTGTTATTTATCCAAATACGTTATATAACGCCCATCTTTACTCTGTGAGGAACTAAAGTAATCAGAAATTAACTTTGCTTTAATTTTGAAAACACTGCAAACTGTGGAAAACAAAAACAAAGTCATCAATAATTTTTAAAGGAAACCCATCAGTTATCATTTTCAATAGGTTGATATGTAAAAGAACTTCTTATATTTAAAATATTTAATATGTAGGGTTTTTAAGCGAAGATAATATATATATACTAGATCATGAATAAAAATGATAACAGCACAAACTAATCCGTCCATAAATCTGTTCTGCTAGGTCCTATAGGATTATTCTACAAAAAAAATTAAGCTTTCAAAAACAAAACAAAAACAAAAATTGTTAATCTAGATATATCAAAAAACTATTTATATTAAATCATATTATATCCACTTAAAAAACCAAAAATTTAACTTTGCTGTTAATATATTTCGTATATGTAACTAGGATTTATTCTATACAGAAGAAACTAAAAACTGTTGTGAAGAAAAAGCACACAAAACAAATGTAAAATATATTACTTACAAAGAAGAATTGTTTGTGTTCAATAATGACAAACTTTCCATTAACCAATGTAATCACATCTGGCTTTGAAAATATATTCTTCATGCATTGTATAGTACCCACAACTTGGCCACACAAAGCAGCTTTCTGTTCTTGAGGCACCCACATTGGATGAAAGTACAAAATAGGTCCAATTTCATCATCTTCTTGTGATTTTTGAGTATCATATATGAACAGAATGTGAATTTCCCTAAAATATGTAAACATATCAAAATATTCTAAAGCATTTGCAATAAAATTTTTAATTTTTTTATGTTCACCACATGATTCAATATGAATTCAGATATATTCAATACAAATGGATATGCTTTCATTAAAGTAAATCCCCCATATTCTATTAAACTTAATATTCTCAAGGCTTTATACTTATTTTAATTTAACATAATTTTTTAATTAAAGAAAGTTTCCTAAATATATATTCTTTTATAACGTGAAAAGTATTAGTGTACTTACACTGTACAAGTAATAATAGTATCTGAGTGAAATAATAAAATGATTGTCTATATTATATTTTTTTATGCAAAAATTATTCTAGTAAATAGTTTTAGTTCAACAAAAGTTTGAATTAAATAACAAATTAGACAGTTCAATTGTATAAAATAGAAATCACTTACTTTGCCATCATCAAAACTATAGAGATACGTTCATTTAAAATATTTAAATTAAATTTATCACAACATTTCACACTTTTGACGTTTTCACTAAACCAGAGATATGTAAGAGAGTAAACAAATAAAACGTCAAGTATCGATGTGAAGATAGCAACATTTCTTTTTAAAAATAAAAAACCACAGGATATACCTCAAATAGTAGTGTAAGTGAAATAGAAAAGGTGGGGAAAGTTAATTGTAGGGGCCAACCGTTCGTAATGTCGACGGCGCTACTAGTCACGTTAGGTGGCGGCACAGAATAATAAACAATCAGAATGCCCACTCTCAGATGCCGCCTTTGAAGTTTTTCAGCACGCGCGCCATGTTTTAGAAGGAAACACATAACACAGACATATGATTTGTGAGGTTATGGAATTGTTTATATTTATGTTTAATTATATTATATTTATGTTATTATATTTAATAATGTTAATATAATTGTATAGTATGTCTATGATTGCCGTAAGTCAATTAAACCGGGTTAATTTTTCTATGTACACCACATAAACAACACTGGTTCCCTCTAAAACATGGCGGAACGTCCGCGCGAAGGAGATGCGCGTACTTAATTTTCCATGGAGAGTAGGCATTCTGATTGTTAATTATTCTGTTGTGGAGGTGTGACAGCAAGAGCCGTATGATGTTGATGTAAGTGTTGTTGCCAAGGTTTCACTAGTTCTACATATTATCCAAATAATAATTTATATACTATACAATGTTTTCCAAAAAAAAACAAAGATTGTAGAAAATTCTACTATAATCATAATTTAAATTTACAATAACTTATTTTTAAACAATTTTGAGTATCCACAAAAAAATTTGCTAATTGCAACATTGTAATCCACGCCGCAAATTGTAAATAGCAATAGTTTCATAAAAATATTGTATCCCAAATTTTAGAAATAAGAAGATAAAAACAGTATACAGTATGGCAATGATTAGAAAAATAGTATAGTACTCCGAATCGAAAAAAATAATATTTTTTGTGGATGGGTGAAAGTTGGTTAAAGTTGGACGAAGGGCTATTAAACATTCTGAGGATTAGGCGTTTATTTTTATAAGCACCAGGTAAGAACAGCACCTCATTATACCAAACTTTTGTTAGTATAAATGCAAATTTAATACTATTTTGAACATTGTGCTTTTGTAGTTAAAAATCTTAACCAACATGGATCTTTAGGTACTATGTATATATTTTAAAATCATTATCATTTCTTTTATAATTGCATTCCGAAAAGTTGCCTTATTTTATAAAGAAAGTTATACATTCTTAATTTTAATATTTCATTATTATAGGATTTCATGGACCTTCTACTGCTGAGCAATAGTTACATACTAATTTGTAACGATCCTGAAGAGTAAGATCGCAGAAATGCTAGAGTTTACAGTTTATTATCTACAAATGGTCCTTTAAGGAGTATTTTAGAAGATATCAAACTTATAACAAACCAGTACTACTTAATATAGAGCCATCTATATTTGTTTATCAATATTAAAAATCCCTGCATGAAGTTGTCCATCTGGTACAGGATCGCAACCAGTGGAGACAGCAAAACTAACAATATTTAAACCAATTTAAACTGTCCCTACCCACACCCTGACGAGGACTTAAGGAATGAGGAGGACGATATTCATTTGTTGCCAATACTTTACCAAAGAAAATTATACAAATAAACAAGTGTCAGGATATCTGTGTTTTATTTTGTTGTTTTCAGGACTTTGGTTTGTTAATGTTATGGACTGGTGAATGGTAATAATAAGATATAGTCATAAAATAATAAATAAAAACTTTCCCGTATAATACCATAATACATACTCTCTCTGTCTGATATTTTGTTATTTTATGACTATATTTTGAATTTTGCCACCTAAAATTCAAAATTTACGTTTTAAATTTACCGCCAAATAAAATTAGTTTCGGCCCGTCCGCATTTGGCGCTAGAAACTCACCGAAATCTTTCTATGGGACTTACCTTACTAAAGGGCTATATACTGTGATTAAAAACATAGGCGGAAAATTTATAAAGTAACAAATAAATAACTCGCTAAATATTTGATAGAAGTAAACTATTTACTAAATTGATGAAAAAATTGCGTCTATATTCTTTGCTAGTATAGTTAACAGAATAAATCAATATCATCAACTCAACAATCCTAACCTATATAACTGCCGGTGGAATAATATTTACAGATTAATTATTTTGAAACTGTTTTTCCAGTAATTTAAAAATATATTTTAAATATGATTCAAGAAATTGATGGTTCGTTATTGGAAGGTGTAAGTGAATCTATAAATGTTATCCTGAACAACGATAAAAAATATATATTATGTTTTAGGGTGGACAAATTTTGAGAATTGCACTAACATTAAGTGCCTTAAAACGAATACCAGTTCGTATAACCAATATTAGAGGAGGGAGAAGTAAGCCGGGATTAATGGAGCAGCACTTAAAAGGTTGATTTGTCTGTTAAATATTATTTTCAGTGTGTAGGAGAAAAAGTCTTCTCTTGTTAATTCATTATGGACACAGTGTTGTCCTATTACGAACAATAGTCCCAATTATATTAGTGAGCATCTTACGTATTTAAGGAATAAAATTTAGCTATTTTTACTATTTTTTCATTATTTTAAATTAATTATACTTAAAAGAACAGAAATTCTATTCTAAGAATGTACTGGAAGATTAGCCTATGTAACATCAATTTTTTATATGATTTTGTTTTGAATTATATTCTTGTTTGCTCCAATTTTTTATTCTGATTATCTTCATCTTCTTTTGGTCTTTGTATAGCTAATTCCTAGTGATTTCTCTAATTTATTTAATGTTTATTTGTCTACATTTAAAATGTATTTTTAGCATATTGCTTATTGTGTTTTGAATAACGTATATTTTTGTGACTTTTCTATCATAATTTTTACATTTCAACATTTCTATCATAATTCATTTATATTTCTATATATGTATCTTGTTTCTATATATCTTTATCTATAATAGTATATCTTTATCTAGCAAAGTGAAACATTTTTCTAATTCTTGTAGTATTCTTTTTTATTTATTTATATCATTGTTTAGTATATTTTTTGCTTAGAATGGTTTATAATATGAATAATGTATCCAACATCATTTATAAGTAGTATTTGGTTTTAGGAGTGGAACTTTTAAGAGATATTTGTTCAGCAAAAGTAAAAGGTGTGCATTTGGGTTCAACTGAAATTGAATTTTGGCCAGAAGAAATCAAAGGGGGCTCCTACAGGGCACAAGTAAAAACTGCTGGCAGTATCAGCCTATTACTTCAAGTGTCTTTGCCATGCGTTATCTTTGCAAAAACTCCTACAACTCTTCTTCTCCGAGGAGGTACCAACACAGAAATGGCACCTCAGATTGATTATCTAACTGAGGTATTTAGACCTATTTTAGAGAAATTTGGAGCAACATTTGATCTCGATCTAAAAAGAAGAGGGTATTTTCCTAAAGGGGGTGGAGAAGTTATTGTTAATATAAACCCAGTGGAAAAATTAAATCCTATTGAAATGACAACACAAGGATCTGTGACAGACATCTTCGGCTGGAGCTTCGTTGCAGGTAATTTGCCAGAAAGACTCTCTCACCAAATGGCGGACAGTGCTGCAAATGAATTAAAGAAAATTGCTTCTGTCAATATTGAAAGGTATAAAGAGGACCCTAATATAGCACCAGATAGCTGTTCAGGTATTATGTAAGTATTAAATATATTATGTATATCAAATTTCTTTTCCTGTAATGAGCAACAGTGAATAATGATACTTTATGTGCAATTTTTGTTCTTTGAGTCTTTTTTAGCTATATAGTCAATTAATCTAATTCTGGAGCCAAAAAAGTGTATAATGTCGTCTAAAATCTTCCATTTATATGAAAAATATGTTTATAGATTGGTTGCGAACACAAGCACAAATTGTATCCTAGGATCATCTGCACTTGGTAAAAGAAGTGAAAGTCTTCAGGATACTGGAAGAAGGGCTGCTGAAGAATTGCAGCGATCTATTAAGGCAGGTGCTTGTGTGGATGAGTATAGCCAAGATCAAATAATTATATTCATGGCATTGGCCAAGGGACCATCCAAAGTAAGAGTAGGAAATATAACCATGCACACAAAGACTGCTATTTATGTTATAGAAAAACTAACAACAGTAAGTGTTTAGTTTTAAAGATTATTAATTTGCATTATGTTTGTTTTATTTTTGTATAGAAGATATATGAATTCTTATTAAAGGATTAATATTTGCTTTTTAATACAATTAATTAACATTATCAATGAAATATTTCACACAATATAAAACTTTTATTATTTTTCTGCAAGCACAATCCATCACAAGCTCTACAGCAGTTTTTTGTTGTTTAGTTTTTGGCGATATAAATTTGGACATGGTTCATCTGCTTATCTGTAATCTGCTGTAACACTAAAAGACCAAATAGGTAAAGAAATAAAAGCATAGTATTACTGACTATTACTCTAGTCTATATTCCATTCCATGTTCCTGTGATAATATATATCAGCAAAACTTCTTGTTCTAGCAAAACTGGTCGTTCTGGCAAAACCTGAATTAACAAGCATTCAAGATACATTAGAACTTGTCTTTTCTTTCATTCTTTAGTCAAATAACACTACAGGGTACCATACATTCCTTTTTTTTAATATTCTGTTGAAAAATCTCCACTTTTATACTAGAAACATTTGTGAAATTCAAGAAATACAGACATTCCGAGAAAATAAACAAAAAGTAAGGCTGCTTCTTATGCCCATCTCAACCATCTCCAATATAGATAAGAGTGGCTTAAGAGTGATTTTGGCTGTCATCCAATTAAGACAAGATTCCAGCTCGGAATCTGTGAGTATTTCATTTTAAATTGTGAAAACAAACTGTAGATTTAACATTAATTATAATTACAGTTTTGAAACAAACCAGCAGCTGTATAAGACTTGGATCAGCCCTTGATTTTTTTACTTTTTGTATGCACTATAGATTTTTAAATATTTTAATTATAAATACTTTTTATTTTTCAGGTAAAATATGAAATAACACCTTCTGAAGCAACAAATATAATTGACTGCAGTGGCAGTTAAACATGAAATTTATTTATATTTTATTTATGTATGTACTCTTTTTAATTAAAATATATATCTTAAAGAATATCTACATAGCCCTCCTACTTTGTGGTATATACTCTGATACCCAATTTTGCATGTTGGCAACTCCTCTGCAGTAAGGAATATACAGGGTTGTAACTTTACAGCATAGACACAACAGTTTATAGTCAGTGAGCTGGACTGGAGATAGAAAATGTTGCTGTAGTTTTTATAAGAGTACTTGTTATGTAAAAAAATTAACAATGTGTAAACAGAACATCGAAAACCCAGGTGAAGGATAGTATGAAGGCTTTTATTGACTTTTTTGCTAATAAACTATTTTTGATTCATTGCAGAATACTATTCTTGGAATCTAATTCCTTAAAATACTTTTTTTTGATCCCTAAGCATAAGCTTCCTTAATGGAATAAAGTAGGTGGTGGTCAAATATAACCTGTTATTAAAATTATTAAAGTGAAAAATGCTAAAAACGCCGTGGGGAAATACACTTTTTCATTGATAGATCGAGAAATTACGTCCAAATTTGTGATAGTTAATTTCCTTTGAAGTAGGAACGTTTTTTTGGATGATAAGAGTCTGTTAGTCTGCTAGATTGATAAATGGTGCTCATAGTAGAAGTATTAAATTGAAGTCTAATGCTGCTACAACATAAAAGATAACAATTTCATATTTTCAAATATCATTGTTATATTATTTACCTCACAGCAGTTACTGCTGCCTATGGTCCACCATTTCCATATGCTTGTTTCCAAGATACTGAATTAATGAACAGGCAGCTTCTTTACAACTACTTTTTCATTGTTTTAGCATTAAATGCATGAAAAGCATGAAATAAAATAAATTTGTTTATTTACAGCATTTTATGTTTATTTAAATTACACGAAACTTTGTGATATTAATAAAAATTACAAATTGCAAACCTGAAAATAATACCTGTAGTATCATAGAAATACTTTGTGTTAACTTAGCTTTTAGATTAAATAGTAGTAAATGTAGTTTTTTTCAAAGTAGTAAGGGTAGCAAGAGTTAAAGAAAAGTGAAAGCAATAGTAAAGATTCCAGTACCTAAACATATTAGAGGTAAGAGCTTTTGCAGGAATGACAAATTATTATTCGAGGTTTATTTTAAATTTGTCACACATTTTAAAACCTTTATATGAATTAACCAAAAAGGATACAAAATTTTAGTGGACAAAGGAATGCAATGAGACCTTCGAGGCTGCAAAGGGACATTTAGTGTCTGATAGAATTCTAATTCATTTTGACCCATTTAAAAAACTAAGGCGAGTGTATGATAGCAGTGAATATGGATTAGGTGCAGTGCTTTTGCACGTGATGTCTGATGGCTGTGAAAGACCAATTAGTTATATTTCAAGGCTACTAACATTCTAACTCGATGCTACTAACGAAAACAGTTAGTAACGAGTTAGGTTATAGTACAGTACAGCAAGATGTATATTTTTTATCTGGGTTTGATTATATTATAAAGTATATTAAGGTAAAGGATAATGTGAAGGCAGATGCATTAAGCCGTTTACTAGTGGAAAAGGAAGAAATGTCTATGGATGAACAAAGCAAATATTTGAATTTTTTAGAATATGTTACACCTATTGACTCACTAAGGTTGGAGAGATCCGTTAATGGGTAAGGTAGTGAATTTAATTCGTATAGGGTTCCCTGAAAAGTGTTCTGAGGAATTGTTAAAGCCTTTTTTTAAACTTAGGAATGAATTCACAGTGGAACAGGGGATAGTAATGTGGGGTTATCAAGTAGTGGTTCCTATAAAATTAAGAATGCAATTGCTTAATGAGTTACACAGTACCCATGAGGGAATTTCAAATGAATGAAAACGAAAATGAAGTCAAACGCTCGAGCATATTATTGGTAGCCATTATAGATAGGTATATTGAAAAAATTATTAATAATTGCAGAGTTTGTTGTGCTTTAAGAGCAGAACCTATTCAGACAACAGTTATACCATGTGGCAAGGGAAATAATTTCTTTGAAAGTGTTCATGCCGATTTTTTGGATAAAAGGATATGATATTAATTTATTATTAGATTCTTATTCAAAATGGCCAGAAGCATTCATAATAAATGTGACAGATTCCTTGGCAACTATAAGTAAATTTAGGGAAGTATTTGCTAGGTTTGGTATACCAAAGAAAGTTTGTACAGAAAACGGACCTCAATTCACTTCGGTGGAATTTTCACAATATTTGTCTAATGATTTAATTAATTACATAACTTCTCCAACGTATCACCCCCAAACAAATGGTTTTGCTGAAAATGCAGTTAAGGCATTAAAGAGTAGTGTTGCAAAGATTATTAAGGACACTGGTGATAACATGTCATTGGAAGTTGCATTACAAAGATATTTATTTTACTATAGAAACTCCATACATGTTTCCACAGGTGTTACACCTTCAGATGGTATTTTCAAACGTAAGATTAGAAACCGTTTTGATTTGATATTGGAAAATAAAGCTCAGAAATTGTTACATATAAAAATGAAAAGAGAAGAAAAATTTGTAAAAGGGGATAGAATGTTAGTAAGAGGTATCCTAATAAGAGGAAATGGGTATAAGGAGTTATAAAGAGGTTTTAGGAGATAGGCATTACATTTGTGAAATTTTTAATGAAAATATATTTTGGAAGCGTCATGTCGATCAGATATTGGAAGGAAAATTCAATGAGTTAGGAGGTTTAAACTAAACTGTTGAAAATAAATTAAGTTTAGATGAGTTTGAAGGATCTAATCCTATGACGCCTCTTTATGATAATAAGACACCTGAATTAATCGTATCTGATTGTATTGGCGATATTAGATCATCAATGATTCATGTGGGAGATAACAGTGTCAGTAATGAGGAACCAGATAATAGTGATACAGTTAATGAAAGTGTCTAGGAAGAAACTTTAGATAAAGCTAATGTTTTGCCAGTACTGTCAAAAAGACTTATCAAAGCTTCTGATCGTTTGGATCTTTAGAGTGGAGGTATTGTAGTATCTTAAGAAATACTTCGTGTAAACTTAGCTTTAAGAAATATGACAGAAGTAGAAGGAATGGTTCCCGCCAAGCGACAGAATCAGAGGTTAGGCTTCTTATGTAGAAGCTTAGATTGTAGTCAGTTTTGTATTTCACAATTTAATAATAAAGTGCCAAACGCTAATATAGAGAATATTTTTTTCTGTTCTTCGGTTTCAACAATACCAATACGCATATGCATCTATATTCTTTGATAAAACCAACAGTTTCTGACTATCATTTGCACTCCGTATATTAAATAAAATTTGCCTAATAGTTTATCAATGATATTAAATGTGAATTATTGTTCTTTGAGTACTATATTTTTTTCTATAGTATTATTTCATTGAAAATATGATGTAAATAAGTTAAAATTATCCTTAGTGTGTTTCTAAACAGTTTGTGCACTGTTGCGACGTTGAAATATCACTGATGTTCTTTGCCACTTGTCACTTTAAAGGAAATAATGCATACAACGAACAAGTTATATTTTATTATATGTTTTTATATACAAATGAACCTAATAAATAAATCATTATTAAATATAATATCTAACACTTATGTGTGTTTTATTTTTTCGAAATATGTTCTTTCTAAAATTTCTTTGTGGACAGCTCTCTCCATCGCGTTCAAAAAGTCTCCTAGTTGTATTTGACCGCCTTCCAAAAACAAAGCGTGAGCCATAAACGGTATTTTTCTGAGAGATCTTCCGCTCAAACCCACACTTTTTTCGCACAGATCCAACAATTTCGTCAGTTCTGGAGAATATTGCTTATCTTCGGTACTTATGAGGTAATCTGTTGATTCTAGAGTATCGCCTTTAACTATTTGCGCCTGAAAAAATGTATTATTACGATATAAACTTACGATATATAAAAAATAGTACCTTTATCAATTCGTTAATGCAGGAGTAGTAAACTTTGTATATAGCATATTTCGAGGGATTCCCCAAATGTTGCTTTATATCCGCTCTGTCGATAAAAGCTAAGTCTATGGATTCAGTCATGTTGGAAGTTGCGAATATTAATACGTTTGAATGTTGTTTTATTCGATCTATTTGTGTAAGAAGAGCGTTCACCACACGGATTGAATCAGACGGCTCAGTACCTGAAACAAACAAATAGACCTACTATGATTAGAGTTCTCAATGTTTTTCTGTATCTTCGAATTATACAACACAAATTGGAATTATTGTTAGCTGCTGTTCATTTGGTAAAATTTATGTCGTTTGTGTTACAGTCGTGGATGCATATAATATTTCAACATGTATATGCTTGGTTAGATTCTCAAATCGTATTAGACTGGATTAAAAGTTCACCCTCGAGATTCAAATCGTTCGTCGCAAATCACATTTCATATATCCAGTCTCATAGTCAAAATTATTCTTGGCATTATTTCGAGATTCGATATGCATGCGCCTTCGCGAGGCCGCTTTTTTATCAAAATTAGACTGGTTAACAGGTCCTTCGTTTTTGCATAATATTTCCTTAATTTTTTCAGAGGTTCCTCCCTCATTGCAGGAAAAATCCTCTTTGGAAGAGTTTGGTGTTTGTACATTGTGCACTAATGCATTGATTAGTGATCAGTATAGTAGTGTCTGGGGGCTCATGAGACTGAGACCTTGGAAGCCGTGAAGAAGACATCAGAGAGGATGTCGAAAGCTCGTCGTAGTGATAGTGACCCGGTTTTTAATAGGTACATATGCGGGATAATCGGACAATTACATGTTGTTAACGTTACCACTTTAAGTCGGTATATTATTAATAAAAAACAAATATAAAAATAGTAACAACATAAATTTTATTACATTACAACTTACCTGATACACACTGATTTCTAGCGTGAGCCAGAGATTCGACCTCATCCATTAAAACACAGACGAGATTATCCTTATTTTCTATAAAATCATTTATTTTGGTAAACATCTTATTGACTAACTTTCCGCTCTGGAAATAAAGAAACATTTTAATATTAGTTCAGTTAATATATCGCTAGAATATTTCCTTTTTATGCAAATGTTTAAATCTCTTAATAAAAATGTTGATATAACGATTGCCATCAGATGGGTAAAGTACCACGACAGGACGAGAATATGTCTGAAATGAAGAAATATCTAAGGGGAAGTAGTCGGAATAAAAGAAATGTCAAAGGATTGGACCACCGAAATAATAGTACCAGTGTTTAAGAAGAAATATGCAAATAGTTGCTCAAACTATAGAAGACTTACGTTGACAGGCATACACAACAAACCTTTACTATGATAATTGACAAAAGAGTATGGAAAAAATTTGAAATAGAAAAGGAAGGAGTACCAAGATCTGATTTTTATACTGGGACATACAGGAAGGAAACTACTGCGAAAAGGACAAGAGATCCATCTGTGTTTCGTTGATCCAAAAAAGCTTTCGAAGAGGTAAGAAAGGACGAGATTAGATTAAGTTAGGTTAGGTTGATATTTAAATGATGTTTGGCAACGTTGGAAGAAAAATGAGCAGAAAATAATATGGACAGAAATTATTAAACCTTTATATAAAAACAACAATAAAAAGGTTGCTGTTGAAGGTGATCAAAGTTTGGTGCAAAACTTTAAAAAATACTTATGGGATGTGTTGCAGAGTCATAGAGTCAATTAAGTATTATTATGGTGAAGCGTTCCTAGAGAAAACTACTAGACAACGCGGAAAACCAGCTTCCAGAAAACATGATGAATAGGATTGTGACCCCTGGTTGTGAAGATGCAAATGATAGATAATTAACAGAGTGAATGAGGAAATTGTTGATATTCTAAAAGGAAAAGGAGAGAAACAAGAAAGTATTGGTGATTCCAATAAAGTAGAGGCGAGCAAGGATGATAAACCAAAAATGAGTCACATATATGAACTTAAAGCTGTTGAAACTGTTTCATCCTGTTTCTCTGTCATCTAAGAATCCTGTGTGTGTCTATGAGAGCACCTTTGTTGTATTAAAACCTATTATTGTCGATAACTCATTTTAATTAACTCAGCTGCCTTTGGGTCCACATTAAGCCGTTTAAGACATTTGTGAGACTCTACTGTAATTGATATTCATAAAAATATACATACAACAAACCAATAGAAAGATAGACAAATAAATAAACCAGAACAATGGACAAGCGAGAAAACTATTTGATACATTAAAAATATTATTCTTTGGAAATAAAGGGATACCTAAGTTTATCAGCTACTGAGATAATATTTTTACAAAAGATTGAAGTAATCACAAGAAGATATAGAATACAAAACACGACGCTAATAGCAAAGTGAAACCAATAGAAACTATTATAAGTGAGAAGAATGGATCAGACATATCTACAATATTAATTTAAGAAAGACAAGCAAAAAAATATATGGAGCCAGAGCACAGGCAAAAACAAAATTGACAATCAAATTAAAATAAGATAAGCAATACAAGAGGCAGAAAAACGAAGAACAGAATGGAACATCAGACATTTGATACACAATACAGTAGCTGGGAAAAGAAAGATCAGGAAAACCCAGTAATAATAATAATAACATTATAAATGTATTGTAGATATTATAAGTGTTTTAAGTGTAATTAATTATGGAATGGAATTAAAATAAGCCTACACATGGCAGTACTTTGGGTTTATTGATTGAATAATTGAACTAGAGCAACAAATAAAGTCACAGTTCTCAAAAAAATCAAGTATTTATCATCATTTGAAAGCATCATTAAAAAAATATAATAATTCTAATCTAAATACATACATTTTTCATAAATATGAAACTTACCTCTGAAAACCACTTCGAAAATAAGCTATGACTATTAATTTCAATCAAAACTCCAGATCCAAATCTCTTTCCCATTCGAATTGTAAGTTTCTGTGCTAGTGCTTTACAAAGTGAAGTTTTTCCAGTACCTGGAGGACCATGGAGTAAAATGACTCTGTTGCAGCTAATTATGTTTTGATCTACTCCTTTATCTGAGAACTCCATCATGGTTTGAGCATATTTTAAGAGCTAAAACATATTTGATTAGGTATTTCATGATATCAATATATATAAAAGAAGACAAATATAATAAAAAATTACATCTATATATAATATATCCTCAACCAATACTCAAAATTAACTTACATTCTGTTTAATACTATGATCATAATACAAATTTTCCCATAAATTAAAGAGAGATTCAGATGGAAGCATTAATTGTGTAGATATAGTAATTTCTTCTTCACCATCCTCTTCATTTTGTAATAGAGGCCCTTCACTGTCTAGTTTATAAACAAACCAATTGATATTTAAGTTGTTAAAATCTACAAAGGACTTATCCTAAAACAAAATAAGGTAAAATTGTTTTTTTTTTTAATTTCTGGTTGAACTGAAAAATTAAGAAAATTATGATACTGATCATTGATTCAATTAAATTTTTGGAAATCTAAAAATAATAAAACAAATGCTGAAAATTTATAACACTTGTAAAAGTGTTATATTATCATTTGTTCCCAGAGAAATGTATGACAGTACAATTTGTTCTTAATATTCCTATTACTGTTCTAAATTAAAAACAAAAGTAACAGACACATTCTTGGTGTACAAGTAGTGACCAAAATATATTTTGAAATATTCTTTGCACTATTAATGTAAAAGATTATCTAAAATTAAATAAAACAATGTAATTGATTAACACTACAAAAAATTTATGAAAAACTTATACCTATATTTATAAACAATATTTGAGATTTAGTTAATGTAAGGTGTCTGATTTGAGACCGACGTAGGGATACTAGAGATCAGAACATGGCAAGATGTTGCCAGAAACTGAACAGAATGGCGACAAATTTTACAGCAGACCAGGATCCACAGAGAATTGTCAAGCCAAATATGATAATAAGACTGTGTATCTCTGATTTCCAATAAATATTGCTAAATAATTTTCTCTATACATAAAAATAAAAGAACCAGTATAAGCTCTTTTTACAATAAAAAAAACTGAAATCTGTTAATTCAATAAAAGATCTTTGGTAAGGAACTTTATAAACTTGTAGAAAGAAAGGGTCCATAAATATTTTACTCTATGTTATACAATTATATTAAAGGATATTGTTCAATATTGCAGTCTTACTTAAAAATATTAGTACTCCTTTGGAAACTTACATAACCTTCAATCTCTCCTATTATAATTGTTTTAACAACACCATGAAGAATGTTTGTATTTTCTCGTTCAAAATTGATTACACTATTTGGACGAAAAATCTTATTTTTCAAATAGTTTTCCACTATGGCAACTATTGATTTCTTGGTTGTATTACTACTAAAAAATAAAGTAAATAAATTATTGTTTTAAGAAATGTAATGTGATACAGACTTGTATTCAGTGAGTATAATTTCAACATCTACACTTTTATCCATTTTATTGTTTTATTTTATTACCGACAACTATTAAATTAAATTATTTCTGGTTTAAATTTTACCCTATATTAAAACTAAATTTTAAACTTTTATTTGTCGTTTTTATCAGGGCAGCCAATATAAAATTAAAAATTATCTGTTGACTGACAGCCATGCCTGTCCCATATAAAATCACAGATCATTAGAAATTAAATTTGTAAAATACTTTTGAAGTTATTTTATATATAGAACTAATTTATAATTTATCGAGAGATTATAAATATAGTTAATATTTATATTTTTCAATAATAATAATTATGAGATTTCGGTTATTGGTACTCGTTATTTATAAACTACAATTTTAGATATCCCTAGTTATATACGTTGCTTTTATGTTTTTAATCCAAAATTCGCAGTTTTTATTGAAAATGTATAAGTAATTTTAAATTTAATAGAGTTGTATGAATAGTTTGTTGTGGCTAAAATGACATTATATATATTATGCAAATGTCAATTTTAAACAGGAAAGGTGAAAAGAGAAAGAGCTTTGACATGCGTGTGGTACATTTCGTTTGTTTATATCGAATCGACGTCTAATCCATATTTAGTCACTGCTTTGATCGTATTTTCAAAAATATCAGCTGATCAAAACTTGAAAGTTATTTATTTCTCGCTAGATTCATGGGTCTTTTAGCCATGTACCATTTACCATGGGTGCGATTGCATCTGTTCTACAATGGCATTGTACTATCTGTAGTTTGATCAATCCAACTGAAAGAATAAAATGTATTAGATGTGGGACGCTAAGGGAGCTCTTTGATGACTCGGATTTATCGTCGGTCATTTATAATTTCGACAAAAATCAAGAGTGTACTGTTATTCGACGATTAAATACTCCAAAAAAGGAAATTGTTCAAAGGTAGGCCATACTATTGTCTTTATATTGAAGATCAATAATTTAAGTATTTTTTCAGTGCTGTGAATAATACCCCTATCGATGAATACACAGTTTTACTGACCCCTTCGTCATTTAATAAGACTTCTTTAAGCTGTTTAAAAAAATACTTCAGTTTACCAACTTTATCATTTGTCACTTATTGTACAGTTTGTGACACTTATTTTACAACAATAGTCTTGAAATGCATAATATGTAATTCACGGTTAAAAATCATGAATAACACAGCATCACCTTGCAAAGTTTGTTCTTTAACATACAGAAATTTTGACAATTTAAGTTATGATAAGCTATTAATATGCAAATGCCAAAGAAATAAATCACTCTCACTTATAAAGAGTGTGAGCTGTTCAGTGGCCCAAAAAGCCTGCAATTCTTTAGTAGATGGACAACAAAAAGACATAAGAACAACTGCTAGTGGCATTAATGAAGTTGGTCCACCTACTAATTATATATGGACAGTTAAAAATTTAGTTCCAGCTACTACTTGGACATGCAAACAATGTACATTATTAAACAGTGCTAATTTAACAGTGTGTGAGGCTTGTGAATCTCCATATTCACCTGATTTGAATAGCAATTTAAAACCTAGTGTCATTATTAAGGTAATATATTTTAAAGTGAGCACTAGTTATTGTTAGATGACACATTCTTTTAGTTTCTAAGAATGCTCTTATGAAAATCATAATTTTTGGCAAAAATATGAATTAGACATTCCAAAAAAATTTTCAAAACAAATTCTATATGACCACCTGTAGGAAGGCCATAATTGTATCCATAGTAATGCAATTTAAAGTTTTGGATTTCATATATTTGCCATTATATTTTTATTTCTTTTTTGTGTTTGTGAGTTCATTGGTTTAAAGAAAAATTTCTCTTGCATGCCCCGTACTTAATAGTTAGAATTGGAAATTGCTCCAAAAGTGATAGTGCTTTTTATTGCATGCTATTTTACAGCACAATATGCTAAAGAAAAGTAAAAATTCCTTGATATATAGATATTTATTTCTTAATATAGACACATCCCACATCATAGCTTCATTACTGACTACAGTTTGAGTTGAATGGCCTATAGTGAAGAAAAATAATTTATGACTCTAGTTACAGCCACTCTGTTATGCTTTTCCTTTTCTACCTGCTTTGTGGTACCGAACCTCCTACTGGTTGGTTATAGTACTTGAGGATAAATCAGCGCTAACAAAATGGAACTGCTGACTACCTGAGGCAGATCTGAACAGACACTTTTATTAATTATGCGACAGGCTAAAACGATCCTACTTTATCTATTTTATGCCTTCATGGAAATAAATAAAACCTTAACATATTTGGGACTTTTGACTAATCAAAGTATCTAATTATATAAAAACCTTTCATCTTTCCTGCAGATAATGCAATGTTGTTTTTTAGTTATTAATAATTAAGTGCAAGAAATAAGCTTTTTGGATATTTTACTTTTTAAACTACTTATTTTAAATAAAACTCTAAACTTTGGAAAGATTCGAACATAGTTATGAAGTTTGAATTGGTTTGTAAATGTCCCTGTGTCCGCTTCTTGTCGATCGACGATGATAGGTATAATAAAAGGTTGAAGTTGTGCAGTAAAAGTGTTCATTTATTGACAGGTACTGATAATTACACAATATGATGTTCGTTAGGTAACTGCTTATGATAGACTGTGCTCAAATGAGCTCAAATCCCCAATTTATAATCTCACAAATAATTCATACCTCAGCACCGAGGTTATTGTTTTCTATCATACCACACTTTGAACTATTTGCGTACATTACAATTTAATCTATTCCTTAATTGCGACACTTAGGAAGTTCAATTAGAAAATATATTATTCAGCAATTTATTTAGTTTATTTAGTAGGTAAATTAATTAATTATTAAAATATTATACAATATGGTTTTACAATGTTCCACATACATGGTGATACTATAAAAGATTGAGAAGTTAAGAATAATGTGAGATTATAAATTAAGGGGTTAATGTGTGATTGAACACTTTTGTCTTTAAACACATTCAAAAATCTTCAAAATTATGCATTCTAAAAGTGGCAAAATTAATTTGTTGCTCTGGAAACTGAAAACTAAATAAATATTGCTTTGATGCTGCATCTAAAGTTGGGTCTTGTAGTACTTAACAAACACTCAAATTTCCAGATCGTTCTATCAAATAGTTTAAAAGTTATTCGTTTATCATAGAGATCTTTTGTTCTATCAACATTAGTCAGAAAATAATGAGTAGTTCAATTGTCAGGGAGCTGACCCCTAAAAATCATATAAAAAAGCTGAATTTTGCAGAGAATATTAACTTTGGAAACCCAAAAAAATGCAAAAAAGTTTACCACTGTTCCCCCGGGCTTCCCCCTAAAACTCCCCTCGCAGAGGGGTAAAAACGTGAAAAATTCGATTTACCAAGAATTTGTACACATCAGAAAAAAATATTTCAAACAAAAAATGTAGCTGAGATAATTTTAAACAAAAATGCTTATAAGCATTTTTGTCACATGTCAGCTACACGTGGGAAATCAATGTTCAATAAAATTTGTATCAGCTGGATGGTAAAAATTCAATATCTTTTGATCCAAAGGTCCTATCGACAAAAGTCAAGATGCGTTTTAAAGGCAAATAGTGCAGCTTCTGTATGCAGTTTTTGTATTTTGCCAAGAATAAACTCAGTTTTTAATGTGGCGCGATTTTTGTCATTTTTTTACGATTCTCGTGAGATCAATAAAATTGATCACTTTCATTGACCAGGTGTAGGAAACATTTAATTTCTAGAGATCAATCTTTAAAACCTATGACATAAAATTTTAATTTTAAATTGTGACAAATATGAGGCATTTGAAATATGAATAAAAAACAGAATTTAATGTTTTACATTATAAACGATCACACGTCACGGAAAATGCATTTAAGAAGACTGTTTTGGGTGTAGATTATTGCAGTAGTTTTTTTTCTTTTGAAAAACGTGCTAATGTAATTGAGAAAAAAGTTTCACATGTTTTAGATCGTTTGTTGTGAGAAAGTTTAAATCCAACGTTTTTTAAGCATATTTCAAATGTCTCACATTTGCTGTTAAAACAGTCATTGAAAGAAATAGATTGTATTGATCTCGTGAGAATCATAAAAAATGGCAAAAATCGCGCTACGTTTATTTATTTAGTACCTGTATAAAGTCTGAGTTTATTTACGGCAAAATACAAAAACTGCATACAAAAGCTAAACTCTACCTTTAAAACGCATGTTGATTTTTGTCGATAGGTCACTTGAATCAAAAGCTATCAAATTTTTACTGCCGACCTGATACAAATTTTATTGAACATTGATTTCGCGCGTTTAACTGACGTGCAAAATCGAAGGTCGCTTCAAGCGTTGTTTCTAAGAAAACGTTCATTCTAACCAAAAAATACTTATAAACATTTTTGTTTAAAATTATCTCAGCTACATTTGTTTCTACGGTGTACAGATTCTGTGTAAATCAATTTCTTTGCGTTTTTACCCCTCTTTATGGGAGGTTTTAGGGAGAAGTCCGGTGGGTAAAAGTGGTAAACTTTTTTGACAACTTTTTTGGGATACCAAAATTAATATTCCCTGCAAAATTCAGCTTGTTCATATGATTTTTAGAGGTTCAGTGGCATTTTCGTCTCTGACGACTGGAGTATAGCAACAAACTGAATAACTTTTAAAGTAATTCATGGACTGGGGGTTTGTTAAGTACCACAACACCAAATTCTGGCCAGTCCCCGGCCAAGTTATTAGAAGCACTCCTATTTTTTAATAATTTATTGTTTTATATGACCTTATATACAGTACTTTCACATACTAACATACATGAAATGGATTTTTATTAAGGAAATTTATTATATATTTCATATTTGTATTTATTTGTTACATATGGCAAAACTGAATAAAACATGCAATCTTTCACCATGTAAAAACACTAAAGTAAAGGCCCTCGTGAATGCCAAAATAGTTTGAAACCGAGAAATATCAAGAAGATTATAGGTTTCTGAAGCTAGTGTAGGAAGCATAAAGAAAAATATTGAACCAGGGAAAGTATTTAGCCCAAAATGAAAGAAAAATGCAGCAGAGGCTATTTTCACTACAAGGTCAGAAAATTTGTCTGGAAAACAGATTTGCTATCACAAAATTGATAAAATCGCAACTCCAAGATGTATACTGTGCGAAAATATACTGTGCCAATATACTGTGCGAAGAAAATTAAAAAATTTAGTTTTTAAGGTCTCCTGCCCCGCCAGGAAGCCCAAGTTAACACCAATATTTTATCAAAATTAAAAAATCCGTTTGAAAAAGGGCTGAGTTTTTAGCTTATAAACGTTTATACTAACTTTGATATTTTTTGTGCCATACGCTTATAAGTAGGTTCACAGAAAAGAAATATATTGGTTCAATAGGTACCAATATAGCATTTTTTCTTAAAATCACATTTCCATTGTTTATTAACATTAATAGCTGAAAATTAAATAGATTAAAGTGAAAATCTAGTTTTATGATCAAATTTATAGACGGCATATACAGGGAAGGTGTAAAAAATATCGCTACTTTAAAGTGAAGTGGAGAACTTCCGGAGCTCCGGTTTTTTAGAATGGGAGTTCAAATTAAAGCTTGCTGGAAAAAATTGCAATATCTCGAATTCTATGACACGCAGAACATTTATTTTTTAAACGGGTGTAGCTCGAGAAAATAATAAGAACTGGTCTACTTTCACCTCTCGCAAAAATGGGAAATCCCGGAAAAATAAATAAATATTTTTTTTGATAGAAAAGATATTGAATCATTCTAATATTTCTTAAGACATATTTAAAATTGAATAATTAATGTATAAATTAATACTCCAAATGTGTTTATTTAAATTAAAATATGAATGCAGCAATGTTGTTTTACTTCAAGAGCTTAATTTGGTGGAGGTGATATAATAGTGTGGGCAGGTATTTCACTAGAGGCTCATACCAAAAACTTGTTGCGATTCAAGGGAGCAATTTGAACGTTCAACGGTATATTCAGCAATGTTTGAAAGATTATGGAGTGCCATTTGCCCCATTTGTTGGAGAACACTTTCGTCAGATGCAAGATAATGCTCGTCCGCACATCGCAAGAGTAACACGGGATTACTGGGATGATAGTTGGGATTCGTTTTTACCATGGACTCCAAGGAGTGCAGACTTAAATCCAAAAGAGCATGCATGGGATATTCTGTGACGATGTTTCCGACGTAACCGTGGTGTTTACAACCATGAATGATTTGGAGCAAGCAGTTCGTGACGAGAGCAAGCAGACTTTGCTGCCTTAATCCAAAGTATGCTTGATCGAATGAGAGTCGTAATTAGTACTCGTGGAGGTAATAAACTCTACTAAATATAGTTTTCCATAAAAAAATATTTATATTAAAAACAAAATTGTTTCCTTGCAGTTTTCCAAATTTTTTGAATTGTTTATTGTTTTTTTTTGTAACATTCTTGAGTTGTAATAAATTTAACTTTTAAATTTTGTTTATTATTAAATACTCAATTGGGAACATCTTAAATTTTGTTAAACGCCAGTTTTTAGGAAAAATCTGAGTGTCCGGTTAATTTTGG